ACGAAACATGAATTTTTCTAGTAAAATTTAAAATATAATATTTTAAATTTGAGGTGTCTAAATATTATACACATATAAATTTCAAATGATCTAAGTATAATTTACTAACAAATAATCAAGAGCTAAGTGTTACTTGCATATAAATTTTATAGGATTTATGTGTAATATTTTAAATTTCAAAATATTTAAGTGATTAAATGACATGAATCAAGAGATCCGACTATTATTCTTTCACAATTCAATAACAATGTGAGAGACCACTTACCAGAAAAAGAGAGAAGAAAAAAATCCCCATTTTGGCCTTCCATACCACATTCCCCCACGCTCCAATTTTTGAGTTGCAGAATGCAAGGCTCCTACTGAAAACCTTTTCTGATTTCTTTCTTTGTTTTTTTAATATATCTTGCATTGGGAAATGTCTATGGTCTGTGAAGACTAATAAATTTCAGTGGTTGCCCCACCTTAGAGACAAAAAGAGTTAATATAAGAGGCATCATATGCAACTTGTGTCGCATTAAACAATCATATTCCCTATCAAACACTACAAACTTTCGCTTTTGTCCTTAGACCGAATGCTTAGCTTCTGCTTTAACCAAATTCCATGTCCAAATAATTCTAGTCATGGTTTCTAAAATGCTTCAAGTGCTTCTTCTCTTTTTCACATTTTTGTTCTCTTTGATGCCTTGTCCCATGCATGGTAGGGTAGGCCCTTCTATTTACATGGCTCTCCCGTAATCGATTACTCTTTTTTATTTTTTGGTTTAATGATTAGTAGTGTTTAAATTAACTCACAGATATTTTGACTAATTCAAATAGACCATTCACGCTGAAATTAAGATATTTATAAAAAAATAAAATTCTCATGGTCTGATCCAAAAAAAATAATCAAAATTCAAATTCATGACATCTGTGACCAATTACTTTATCCATCGACACATTTGAAACAAAAATACCTGGGTGTATTATTAAAAGTTCGAGTTTTCGATTCACTTGATTTGTTTATCTTAGGAATAATTTCATCTGATTGGACAATTTCAGTTACCATGAAAAGGAACTCAAAGTTATAATTGGAAATGATGAGTAAAAATTGTCTACTAGAGCTTATTTTTCCTTTGAGAACCACTGCCTACTTGTCCACATATATTTTAATTTTTCTATTTTTTTAGGGCTAACGAATTATATCATATCTGATTCATGTCAAATTAGGTTAGGTGTGTCGAGATTTGTTTAATTTATATTTAATTTTTATGACAATGAATAATGCACAGTCGAATTCTTAATTGTCATTTACATTCTTAATTATCTCAATTTATTTTTTGAATTATATAATTTATTTCAATTGACTGTTAAATGAAAAAAAATAATAATAATTAAGCTTAATAGAATCTATCTCATTAAATGATGAATCTTAAATTGAATCTGTCAGACTGTCTCATTTATCAGTTGATCTTAAAGGAAAAGATTGATTAAAATAAATTTTATAGTTTAAAGAGTAAATTAAAATAATTGAAAGTTTAAGGAATAATTTAAAATAAAGGTCATAATTTGGGGGTATTTATGAAATTTGACCAAAAGCGAAAGTAAATTGTGAACATCGAGAAACCAAAAAAGGTGGATGCTTTATTGGTGCCGCAGGCAAGGCTTTGCAAAGCTTTTAATCTCAAGTTACAAATATACCCCTACCCTTTATTGCCTGTCTGATCAGTTCCTACGTGTCATTGGCTCAGTGCTTTAAAGTAAATCACTACGCAAATTGACTGTACATTGTCCTAAGTTCAAGAACCAACTCAAACGAGGATAAGCAAGATTGACTACCTTTATGTTTTGAGCAATTCTGCGGCTTAACTCAAATTTATATTTTAAATAAAAAGAGATTATTAGATCAGTAGGTCCTATTTAAAAAAATTGATGAGACTTACTCATCTAATGATCCCCTTCATTTTGAATGAAAATTTGAGTTACATAATTTTTTCCTTATATTTTTGTTTTTTTAGATGTTATTCAGGTGTGCAACAATTATTTTCTTCAACTTAAATATTATTCATTGTAACTCGAGCGAGTTTAAAACATGTTTTTTTTTAAGAATAAGAGTGATTGACTCTTAAAAGATATAAGAAGTATTAAACCTAAGACATCTGAATTATCAAAGGTCAAGTGAGCCATTAAACCACCCCTAAAAGTTGAATAATTTTATATTTAATAATGAAAGAATGTTATTATAACCTAATTTAAGGGTGGATCTTAAGGATGACAGTTGACTGCGAAAAAATGGGCATTTATCTAAATTCATTTTTATTTGGACGGAAGATTAATCATACGTATTAGACAGTAAACATATACGAGAATACTCATATAAACTCATTTGGGAACAGAGATGAGGATGGACTAAAAACTCATTTCCACCCCGACTTTGCCCCACTAAACCCATAATATATCTATCTATCTATATATATATATATATAACAAATAAAATAATTAATTAAAACACACATTTGTTATGCATATTATTTTTATGAGTTTTTATGTTTGATTTTTTTGTTACATAATGAATTTTCATCCTTCTTGTAAATTCATTTGTGTGGTTTTATGATTTTTTTTTCCAATTTTTTTCTTAAAATCTTAAAAATTAATTGATATGAGCAAGGGCGAGAATCAAAATTTAATTGCATGATGGAGAAGAGAATTAAAATTTTTTCCCACTATTGGGGGTGGACTAGAGGTGGACAAATACTATTTTTGAAGCGTGTATAGGGGTGGAGACTACTCCCCTCGCCCCCGTCCACTATCATTCTTATTGGAACCTATACTTATCTAGATTCGTTACTAATTCAATAAATCGTGATAAATTAGGTTAATAAATTAAGTTCAAATAATATTATTGTTTATATTGTTGAATAAACTACAAATTCAAAAAACTTTGGATTGCAAATAAACAATAAAATAAAAAGTAAAATCTTTCAAAAAACAATGTGTGTTTTAATGTATATCAATGTATTGACATAAGACATTACAATGTCTTTATAAGAGAAAATAGACGCACAAAGAGAGAATTTAAAAAGAGACACAGAGACAAACTCTGGCTTTAACGAAAGTTGATCCCATAACTTCTCATTTAGGAGTATCACAAGTGACTATTGGATTTACAGAAAAGAAACAACAAATTAATGGTGAAATTTGAAATAGTAATAAAAATTAAATATTACTACTTGCTTGTTGATAGTAATTAACAATGAGTTAAAGGTAAGTCATTTCAATTCTTCTAGATCGAGGCTACTTATAGTTAAAAAGTAAGTCATTTTTTTCGAAACCACCATGTAGAGTTGTTTAGTGGAGAATCGGGCTTACTCCTCACCTTGAGATTGAAAATTTGAGTCTTGAATTCCCTATTGAAATTTGGTGGTTGATCGTTATACTAGTCTAATTAGATCTAGTCCCAAAAAATGTTACAGGCACAGTTAAAAACTTTATGATCCACCGGTGAAGGATTTCACCAGTGAGAGCCTATCAGAGTGGTCGTTGGACACCTTTTTTTATTCTCACCCTTTTATTCTCAACCAAAAAAAAGCCATTTTCTGAAATATTTTTTTATTATATACGTTTTTTCAATGCTACTCGATATAAGATCATTGTTCATTTGAGTAGATATATAATTTATAAATGTGTCACATATTCATGCACAATAAATAATTTATCATCTCAAGAATTGAAAAAAAAAATTACGTAATATAGGATATGCCAATCCTACGTAATACATATAATTGTGTTTAGGACATTAAGGTTGTTATTGTCTTTCCATCTACTTTGAAGCACNGTGATAAATTAGGTTAATAAATTAAGTTCAAATAATATTATTGTTTATATTGTTGAATAAACTACAAATTCAAAAAACTTTGGATTGCAAATAAACAATAAAATAAAAAGTAAAATCTTTCAAAAAACAATGTGTGTTTTAATGTATATCAATGTATTGACATAAGACATTACAATGTCTTTATAAGAGAAAATAGACGCACAAAGAGAGAATTTAAAAAGAGACACAGAGACAAACTCTGGCTTTAACGAAAGTTGATCCCATAACTTCTCATTTAGGAGTATCACAAGTGACTATTGGATTTACAGAAAAGAAACAACAAATTAATGGTGAAATTTGAAATAGTAATAAAAATTAAATATTACTACTTGCTTGTTGATAGTAATTAACAATGAGTTAAAGGTAAGTCATTTCAATTCTTCTAGATCGAGGCTACTTATAGTTAAAAAGTAAGTCATTTTTTTCGAAACCACCATGTAGAGTTGTTTAGTGGAGAATCGGGCTTACTCCTCACCTTGAGATTGAAAATTTGAGTCTTGAATTCCCTATTGAAATTTGGTGGTTGATCGTTATACTAGTCTAATTAGATCTAGTCCCAAAAAATGTTACAGGCACAGTTAAAAACTTTATGATCCACCGGTGAAGGATTTCACCAGTGAGAGCCTATCAGAGTGGTCGTTGGACACCTTTTTTTATTCTCACCCTTTTATTCTCAACCAAAAAAAAGTCATTTTCCGAAATATTTTTTTATTATATACGTTTTTTCAATGCTACTCGATATAAGATCATTGTTCATTTGAGTAGATAAATAATTTATAAATGTGTCACATATTCATGCACAATAAATAATTTATCATCTCAAGAATTGAAAAAAAAAATTACGTAATATAGGATATGCCAATCCTACGTAATACATATAATTGTGTTTAGGACATTAAGGTTGTTATTGTCTTTCCATCTACTTTGAAGCACACACAAACAGAAACATAGTACACATTGCATGCTTTCCTGTCCAACCTGCATTTATTTATCACAGACGTCCCACCATTTTCTCATTAATTGCTCCATTACCCCTTCCACATTTTCTCCACAACTGCACGCTCCCTCTCCGAAGTCCAACTGACCAAAACCCTTCACCTCTTCCTACTCTCTCTCTCTCTCTCTCTCACTCACACACTCTCCAAAGTCCAACTGTGTAAACCCTTCACCTCCTCCCCCTCACCTTTCTTCTTTCTCACTCACCTCACACACAAACACAATGGAGGAACTACATTTCGTTCTAACATTCTCTCTCTTACTTCTCCATTCCTCTCTCCTCAGTGCTTCTCCAAACCCAGAAATGCATCCTCTTTTGGACTTCAAAACTTCCTCAGATACATCCAACAAGCTCACCACCTGGAACTCCTCCACAGACCCATGTTCATGGTACGGTGTCTCTTGCCTCCAAAACAGAGTCTCTCGACTCGTCCTCGAGGGCTTAGACCTTCATGGCTCTTTCGGACCCTTAACCTCCTTGACCCATCTCCGAGTTCTGAGTCTCAAGCACAACCGCCTCTCTGGTCCCATCCCAAATCTCTCCAACCTTACCGCACTGAAACTAATTTTTCTGAGCTACAATGAATTTTCCGGCGAGTTTCCGTCGTCCGTACAGTCTCTTTTCCGGCTGTACCGTCTTGATCTGTCGTACAATAATATCTCCGGCGAGGTTCCGCCGGCGGTGAACAGGTTGACTCACCTTCTCACTCTCCGCCTCGAAGAAAACAGTTTTGCAGGTCCGATTTCGGAGCTCAATCTCCCCAATCTGCAAGACTTCAATGTCTCCGGCAATAGACTCACTGGCGTTATACCCACTTCCCTCTCGGGTTTCCCCGAATCTTCATTTGCTAACAACCTTGTTCTTTGTGGCCCTCCGTTGTCGAACTGCTCGAAGTTCTCTAGCGATCCCACTCGACCCGGTTCATCAGGAGCCATAGCCTCTCCGGTAAACCCCGGGCCTAATCCCACTATAGTGACTTCCTCGCCAAGCTCAATTCCGGCCAATACACCGCCGACCAAATCGGAAAATTATCACCACTCTGGCAATGGCCACATTAGTTCACTTGCCATCGTCGCCATAATAATTGGCGATGTTCTGGTCTTAGCCATAATCTCTCTCCTGCTGTACTGCTGTTTCTGCAGAAACAGAGCCAATAAATTGTCCCACAAAAATGGGTCTCAAATCCTTGAAGGAGAAAAAATAGTGTACTCCTCAAGCCCATATCAAGCTGCACAGACCGGGTTTGAAAGGGGGAAAATGGTGTTTTTTGAGGGAGCCAAGAGGTTTGAGTTGGAGGATTTGCTCAGAGCATCAGCAGAAATGCTGGGTAAAGGAGGGTTTGGGACAGCATACAAGGCTATACTTGATGATGGGAATGTGGTGGCGGTGAAGAGGTTGAAGGAGGCTAATGTTGGTGGGAGGAGAGAGTTTGAGCAGCACATGGAGGTGTTGGGAAGGTTGAGGCACCCAAATTTGGTTAGCTTGAAGGCTTATTATTTTGCCAGGGATGAGAAGTTGCTGGTCTATGATTACATGCCTAATGGGAACTTGTTTTGGCTACTTCATGGTAAGTTATCACCAATGACACATAAATCCATTGTTTATTGGTTAATTTGTTGATATTGTAGCTGTTTATAATTGATGCTAGATAAAATTGGCGGAGGAGTGAGATTCCTCCCTTATATATTTTCGCATTATCTTCCTTGGTAGATTACTTGTCCATGAATTTGGGTCGAACCCCTAATGTATCGTCCGCTAATACATGGCTGGTGATATACCAAATAAGACCCATCGTATATATAACCGAGTCTCTTGCTAATATATGGTGAATGATTTACTAAGAAGAAGAATAAAAGGTTGGAATGGGATAGCCTGAAAGGGAAGGACTTGGGAGTCTAGTATATGGAGATTCCAAGTTCAACTGAACCCATCTGGCTAACTTGATGTGCATGATTTGCTTGTGATGGTGCACATCTGGTTTGCGTGGCAATCATGAGTGTCTTTTTTCTTTATAATTTAACATTATAAAGAAGCTATGGTTGGGATTCTTTGCTAGAAAAATAACAAATAGGGGTAACCATATGTTTGATTTTGTGGAGGAATGTGTGTTAGGCTAGCAAGTTGCATGTTGCACATGGGCTTTTGTTTCTACTGTTTAATAATGCTTTGATCCCTTCTTCCTTGTGTAACTGATGGCTTGAGTGCTGCAGTTGATCAACTGTGTAGCAATTGTCATGTTTTATGTTCCTCCATTGGGAGTTAACTAAAGTTGGAAAACATAAAGTGGTATAATTGTGCCGTCTGCAAGGCTTATAGGACTCAGATTTTTTGACGAAGTTGGGCCATTTGATTGATTACTAGGGAGATTACGTAGCCCACTTTGTGGGATTGGTAATAGGTTGTGTATAATCAGGTTTGCATTTTGTATAAGTCATATACAATCACAAATAATCAGGTTGGCATATTGTGTAATTGGGTTTATGTTGACTCATATTCTAATTAGGTCAAGCCGGTCAATCTGGTGATGATCTGAATCACTTAAGGCTAAACGAGATAATTTCTTATTGATTTCACATTAGTAGAATCCCCGNAGGTTGGCATATTGTGTAATTGGGTTTATGTTGACTCATATTCTAATTAGGTCAAGCTGGTCAATCCGGTAATGATCTGAATCACTTAAGGCTAAACGAGATAATTTCTTATTGATTTCACATTAGTAGAATCCCCAGCCCTAACTCTTTCTGCTGTGCAGTTTTATTCTGTGTATTTATTTTTATTGGTGGTTTTCTCAGAACTTCATTTGTCATATGTATCATTAGAGGGAAAGGTAGCCTATTGTCCTATCCTGAGATGTAATCTTTTTTCCTTGTTTGAAGCAATGGTGCAATGTTTCTTTTTGTTTTGTTGTATTANTGTATTTATTTTTATTGGTGGTTTTCTCAGAACTTCATTTGTCATATGTATCATTAGGGAAAGGTAGCCTATTGTCCTATCCTGAGATGTAATCTTTTTTCTTTGTTTGAAGCAATGGTGCAATGTTTCTTTTTGTTTTGTTGTATTGNCGGCGAGTTTCCGTCGTCCGTACAGTCTCTTTTCCGGCTGTACCGTCTTGATCTGTCGTACAATAATATCTCCGGCGAGGTTCCGCCGGCGGTGAACAGGTTGACTCACCTTCTCACTCTCCGCCTCGAAGAAAACAGTTTTGCAGGTCCGATTTCGGAGCTCAATCTCCCCAATCTGCAAGACTTCAATGTCTCCGGCAATAGACTCACTGGCGTTATACCCACTTCCCTCTCGGGTTTCCCCGAATCTTCATTTGCTAACAACCTTGTTCTTTGTGGCCCTCCGTTGTCGAACTGCTCGAAGTTCTCTAGCGATCCCACTCGACCCGGTTCATCAGGAGCCATAGCCTCTCCGGTAAACCCCGGGCCTAATCCCACTATAGTGACTTCCTCGCCAAGCTCAATTCCGGCCAATACACCGCCGACCAAATCGGAAAATTATCACCACTCTGGCAATGGCCACATTAGTTCACTTGCCATCGTCGCCATAATAATTGGCGATGTTCTGGTCTTAGCCATAATCTCTCTCCTGCTGTACTGCTGTTTCTGCAGAAACAGAGCCAATAAATTGTCCCACAAAAATGGGTCTCAAATCCTTGAAGGAGAAAAAATAGTGTACTCCTCAAGCCCATATCAAGCTGCACAGACCGGGTTTGAAAGGGGGAAAATGGTGTTTTTTGAGGGAGCCAAGAGGTTTGAGTTGGAGGATTTGCTCAGAGCATCAGCAGAAATGCTGGGTAAAGGAGGGTTTGGGACAGCATACAAGGCTATACTTGATGATGGGAATGTGGTGGCGGTGAAGAGGTTGAAGGAGGCTAATGTTGGTGGGAGGAGAGAGTTTGAGCAGCACATGGAGGTGTTGGGAAGGTTGAGGCACCCAAATTTGGTTAGCTTGAAGGCTTATTATTTTGCCAGGGATGAGAAGTTGCTGGTCTATGATTACATGCCTAATGGGAACTTGTTTTGGCTACTTCATGGTAAGTTATCACCAATGACACATAAATCCATTGTTTATTGGTTAATTTGTTGATATTGTAGCTGTTTATAATTGATGCTAGATAAAATTGGCGGAGGAGTGAGATTCCTCCCTTATATATTTTCGCATTATCTTCCTTGGTAGATTACTTGTCCATGAATTTGGGTCGAACCCCTAATGTATCGTCCGCTAATACATGGCTGGTGATATACCAAATAAGACCCATCGTATATATAACCGAGTCTCTTGCTAATATATGGTGAATGATTTACTAAGAAGAAGAATAAAAGGTTGGAATGGGATAGCCTGAAAGGGAAGGACTTGGGAGTCTAGTATATGGAGATTCCAAGTTCAACTGAACCCATCTGGCTAACTTGATGTGCATGATTTGCTTGTGATGGTGCACATCTGGTTTGCGTGGCAATCATGAGTGTCTTTTTTCTTTATAATTTAACATTATAAAGAAGCTATGGTTGGGATTCTTTGCTAGAAAAATAACAAATAGGGGTAACCATATGTTTGATTTTGTGGAGGAATGTGTGTTAGGCTAGCAAGTTGCATGTTGCACATGGGCTTTTGTTTCTACTGTTTAATAATGCTTTGATCCCTTCTTCCTTGTGTAACTGATGGCTTGAGTGCTGCAGTTGATCAACTGTGTAGCAATTGTCATGTTTTATGTTCCTCCATTGGGAGTTAACTAAAGTTGGAAAACATAAAGTGGTATAATTGTGCCGTCTGCAAGGCTTATAGGACTCAGATTTTTTGACGAAGTTGGGCCATTTGATTGATTACTAGGGAGATTACGTAGCCCACTTTGTGGGATTGGTAATAGGTTGTGTATAATCAGGTTTGCATTTTGTATAAGTCATATACAATCACAAATAATCAGGTTGGCATATTGTGTAATTGGGTTTATGTTGACTCATATTCTAATTAGGTCAAGCCGGTCAATCTGGTGATGATCTGAATCACTTAAGGCTAAACGAGATAATTTCTTATTGATTTCACATTAGTAGAATCCCCGGCCCTAACTCTTTCTGCTGTGCAGTTTTATTCTGTGTATTTATTTTTATTGGTGGTTTTCTCAGAACTTCATTTGTCATATGTATCATTAGGGAAAGGTAGCCTATTGTCCTATCCTGAGATGTAATCTTTTTTCTTTGTTTGAAGCAATGGTGCAATGTTTCTTTTTGTTTTGTTGTATTGTTCTGCTAGAAAAAAGAGAAGCTTGCAAGTTTGCTTAATTTTGTGTAGTGGATAGTGAAATTAGCCCCTCTGGGTTTGGAACCATATGGCCCTGGGTCCACTCACCCTTGTCTTGTACCTCACCATCAATTACACAAGGGAACAGTTATACCCCAGTGCACGCTAGCCCCAGCATCTATTTCCGATTGGGGAATTGGGAATACTGCACCCTGTATCTCCCACAAGCCCATTACTGTTCACATCCTGTCCTCTTTTTCCCTTGCACTTTTTGTTCTTTGCCTCCCCAGTGTGGATCCAACTAGGGTACCCGAAGTCCCAACATGACTTTTGGGTACCGTATTTCCTATTTTCGTTCAACAATAGCATGTGTAAATTTTCTTATTTGTTACTTCATTTCAATTTATTATTTTTTTATTATCGATAGTTACAAAAAAAAAGACCAAAACCAACAGCTACAAATCATTGCTTGGTATTTTGGTATGGTACCAAATTTTATTTTGTTGATACCATAACCTCATCTGTCCCATATAATCAGCGACACCCTTATCCTGAATGTCCTAAAAGATAAACCAATTTAATTAGGTTTTGTTAATTCTGTAATTAGCATAATGTTTGATGTGTATTTTGTGTAATTTCTATAGGGAATCGAGGACCGGGGCGAACCCCACTAGACTGGACCACAAGACTCAAGATTGCTGCTGGTTCAGCTCGAGGACTAGCCTTCCTTCACAATTCATGCAAGTCACTTAGACTCATTCATGGCAACATCAAATCCACTAACCTCCTCATTGACAAGGCTGGCAATGCCCGAGTCTCCGACTTTGGCCTCTCAGTCTTCTCAGCACCAAGCTCAGTCCCAAGAGCCAATGGTTACCGTGCCCCTGAAGCTGTATTAGACAGTCGAAAAAATACCCAGAAATCTGATGTGTACTCCTTCGGGGTCCTATTGCTGGAGTTGCTAACAGGTAAATGTCCATCTGTGGTTGACAATGGTGGTCTCGGCACAGGCTATGGCGGGGTTGTGGATTTGCCGAGGTGGGTTCAATCAGTCGTGAGAGAAGAATGGACAGCTGAGGTGTTTGATTTGGAACTGATGAGGTATAAGGATATTGAGGAAGAAATGGTGGGTTTATTGCAAATAGGAATGGCTTGTACTGCAGCTTCACCAGACCAACGGCCAAAGATGAGTTACGTCGTGAAAATGATCGAGGAGATACGAGGAGTCGAGGTGTCACCATCACATGACTCGGTATCTGATTCGCCTTCTGTATCCGAAGATACATGCGGAGCAGCAAGCCAATGATCATGACAATATTGAAACTTCAGCAGGAGCAAGTTTTTGGCCAAACCGCTCTGTTAGTTTCACAAAAATTAGTTTTTTTGGGACAAGTTTTCTCCTTGGTTGGCCAATTAGTTATGCAGCTTGTGCTTGCATGTTTTATAACAACCGTTGTCAGATAATTAATTCCGTTTTTCTACCGGTATGCATGAATGCCCTTCGGCATTCGTATTACCAATGAAAAACAACATAGGTGACCAATGAACAAGACAGAGCTACATCAAACTTTCACCGACATTAAGTTCATAAATTTTGTCTGCACAAAACCATGAACAGACAACAAAACAAAACAGAAATCACCAACACAAGAAAAATTATGTGGTTCGGGTCGAAACCCTACGTTGGCTGGCGAAATGCAGCCACAAAAGTTCATCATCAACAAAGGAGATAAAAGAATTTTTGAACCAGAAGAACTAATCTAAAAGTGGATTTACAAAATCTACATCTCAGACCAAGTGGTCTATAACATACTTCTTAGGCCACAAAACAAAAAAATTATTCTCCACAATTGGATAATGACCCCAGTGGGTATGTCTTATGTTAGAAGAAGTTGGAATCTAAGCCACTATCCACCATCTTATATATCCTTTTGGTGTACATAGTCCTCTGTTTTGTTCATTGTATCTTAATCGAATCTGCATAAAACAATGAAACAATTTGATAATGGCATTTGGTTGCACATTTTCAAGCCTATTGGTTGAATTGCATCACTTCTGGGGCAAGTCTCAACAAACTATCCAAAGAATCAGGGGAGAACTTTCTGGCAAACAAGTAACAAATGTTTGTGCTATTCCCATTGTACTGACATTTTCTGTTCCACCTCAACTTCTGCAGCAGCTCTAGGGTGACATCTTTTGTTGTAAATTTAGTCGGATGGGGCCCGCCTCTCGACCAGTCAACCCAAGTCAATGTTCTATTTGAATTCCTCTCCCCAAATTTCATATTCACATATGTAGGTATGTAGTGTTCATCAGAGTAACATTGACCATTGCAGTAGTTTTGGAACACTGGAAGATATTTTCTATCTGATATAACCTCGATAGCAAGATCACGATCCATCGCGAACCATTGTGACCCTTTTCGCCATTGTTGAATTCGGATTATGGGATTCATTTTAGGGCTGTAACGGCCACGACCGACAGGTCCCGGAAGATCATAGACCTCAACAAAATTGTTGGTAGAGTTGATTAGGTAAGAATAGACGGTGGAGAAGTTAAATAGAGGGATGCATGATTCGGAGAGGAGAACAAAACGTTGGTTTGAGAAGTCAAGTAGTGCATTGGCTAGTAGTCTGCGCTCTGCTTCGATCATGTTAACATTTCCCCATTCAACTTCCTGCATTGTTGAGGTAGAAATTTATGTATAAGATGGAGTTTAGTAACTGATAACATGTGACATCTTAAATAACAAGGTCCAATGCAATTACCAAAATAATCACAAACTAAAATGGTGTACACAGTATACGAGGCTCCCGCCATTGCAAAGTTTTAAGAGGGTTAAATATACGCAGCCGTATCTGTGTAAGCAGAGAGATTATTTCTGTGACTCGAACTTATATTATTATTTTTTTACCAAAAAAATCACAATCCCACCCATATTATTTCTAGTGCCACCTACCCAATTAAAGAAAGGTGTTTTGTTGATGAAATATACACCAGAGCTTAGATTGGGATCACTATCATATCATAGTTGTGTAGGGGGATGCCAAGTGCGCCTAAAACACTACAATACGCCTTTAGTGCCAAACAGTACCCTCCCTCAATCCGAAACTGCTTTTTTGGAAAGAAAAAAAAAGAAGCATATAACAAAGGAATGCCCTCCCAGCCCTGGAAAAGGATCTTGCTCTAGCTCTGTCCAATGCTCGGAATGGTGATTGATCAATTCCGAATCCAAGTTCTGCGTGCATGGATGCACCGAGCTTGCCATTCTAACACGCACTCTCATGCATTCTAGAATTCAATCATTAGGAAAATATCATTTTCCTTTCTTCTTTCTTTTCAACCTGGACTTTCCTCTTATGACTTTAACAATTTTCCACAAAAAAAAAAAACATAACAATTTAGAAACCTAGTAAAATTTATATTGGATATGTTACCGTAACCATATCCCCCAGTAGCTAGATTTGGTTGTTATTTTCCTTTCTAACTTCATGCTCACACTTTGTGATCCAAGGTAGATTTGCTAAGGTGGAATTCTTGGATCCGGATGTCCTCTAATAATTTTTTCCTTGTCGATAGTTATCACATATTAGTGAGTACCCCACTCTTCGAGAGGTCATATATATTGAAGGAGATCTCACTTCAGAATTCACAAAGCACCCTTTTAAGAGAAAGTAATGCTGCCCTCCACCTAATTCTAGGGATGGCGGTGGATGGGGGTGGGGTGAAGTAGTATGAATCCTTGTATCCACTTCAAAAATATTAATCCATTTCTAGTTCATCCATTTTAACGAAGGAAGTTTTAATTTCCGCCCCTATCCCGCGAGTAAACTTGGATCTCTACCCCCGCCCCTGTCTTGTGGCAAATTATTAGAAGACAAAATTAATTTGGTGAGTAGCGTGTACTGATTTGTAACAGTTTATATTTTTTTGATAAAAATCAATTTTATCTATTTTACTGAGAAGGTCTACGGTTCGAGGCTGTATAGCCCTAGTCTTATAAAAGAAAATTCAAATTCAAAAAATTTCTTGTATAATTTGTATTTCCTCATTAAATGAGGAGTGCGTTAGATTAAAAACTTGAATTAATTTGATTCATTTTTTAGTGATTTTAGACCTTTGGATTGTATTTTTGGATCAATCTGAACCGTGTATGGTGTGCGTGTGAAAAGTAAATGATGTGAATTCGCCTCAGCAGACCAAAAAAAAAAAAAAAAAAACAGAGTGTTCTACTTATTAAGATAGATATGTATTATATATAACGGGTTTAACGGGGCAGGGAGAGGAGAAGTTTTAGACCAGCTCTTCCTCCATCCCGGTACTAATTTATACGGGTGTCTCCGTGTACGTCTATATTAACGAATTCTTGGTCCACTGCCATCCCTACCTAATTCCCTTTCTGCCTTCACTAAGTTTTCCAAAAGTCTCCAAAGATAAATTGGTGACAAAGAATGGTGAAGATATATAGTTTCCAGTCTTCTCAAAAGCCTATTTCTCCTCCAGTTTCATTCTAGACAGCTTCAAATACTATCGGAAGAATATAGAATGGAATACATATTTTCAATAACAATACTTGAATTTTTCATTTTTGAACAAAATGTATTGTGGTTATTGGATAAAATTAAATGTAGAGAGTCTTGAGAGAGACTGACCTTGCTGGGAATTCTCCTGCCATGAAACACTGAAGTTTCTAGCTCTGATTCATTGAAAGATGGATTTGAGTGCACATAAATTGAGTAAAGCCCTTCATGCCCTGCAAAGAACTTCTCCCACAATGGCCATAATAATACTGGACCTCTTGTCAAGAACATGAATGCAATCTTTGGAACCGAGTGAAATGGAACTTCTTGTATTTTTGGAGTTATTGAGGCTCTCCATAGCAGTTCTTCATCATTCATGTCATGGGCAATGTTTGGTGGCTTTATATATTCTGTCAAGCCAATATGTCTATATGATACAAATGTGGGTGGCGGTGGTGGCGGCGGCGATAAGGGTTGTGGTGAACCAAAGAGAGAGAATTGGGTGAATTGGAGGCTAAATGAAAAGTTTCTGAGATGGAAACATAGTAAGATTCCGACTGTTAGGCCAGAGGCAAAGAAGAGGACATAAGAAAGGAGATTACCAAGATGTAATGGGACATTAGAAAGCCTGACGGCTGAGGCTAGAGGATTTTGGTTTTGATTCTTCATGGTTTGTGTGTGCCAACCTCGCAGAGAGAAATCGAGAGAGAGAGAGAGAGAGAGAGAGAGAGGGTATGGTTCACCTTGTTTAGACGGGGACCCTTAAGATCTACCAGAAGCTATATGCTTTCTTCTATATAAATATAAGAGAGAGAGAGAGAGTATATTCCACCTTGTTTAGGCGGAGACCCTTATGATTTATGCACTACAACAAACTTAGAGAGTATTTTTCAGATTGTTTAGGCGGAGACCCTTATGATTTATGCACTACAACAAACTTAGAGAGTATTTTTCACCTTGTTTAGACGGAGACCCTTATGAAATACAAGAAACTTTTGTTTTCTTCTTACGGGAATATGAAGCCATTTAACTTCCTATGGTTTGACCGACTACAATTCTATGATAGCCAGAAAGAAAACGTCAGGCTTAACGACGTAGTAAGAAAATGTCCACTCAAGCATTTTCTTGGAGAGACAGAGAGAGAGAGAGAGATGGGCAGGTGTCATGTCTCAAATTGATACCAGAGGAGCACTAGAGGTTTTGGCGATGGCTTGACCAGGGGATCAGAAAGAATCAGTCAACATTCAAAAACAGTGTTTTTAGCATACTTTTCTTTCCAAAAGCTTGGATATATATGTCTTCATTAATGCATCGACATGCATACCTGCATAAGCGTCTATCAACATCATTTCTAATATTTTTTTATTCCGTTTTTTATTTTTACAGATCAACCAGCACGAATCGATAAAAAACTCGCTTATATACAATAAATTCTAATTGAATTTATGTTAATAAAGCTTAAACTCTATCAAAATAAATTAATATATATATATAGAAAATCTCACGCCAATCAAGCAAGCAACAAAGAGCTTTCTTAAGTTTTATATGAAACTTTCATTAATGCATGGACCTGCATGGTGAGAAGCAATTAAGAAGGGTCCCATCAATGAAAAGTCAATATGCTTGAGAAATTTCACTTTTGGACTCAGATGCACCGATCAATGCGAGTATCCAGCTATTAAGTTTGGTAAAGGTCTTAGCATCTAAGTTTTGCTTATATTTTTTGTAAAGTGGTTTTGTAAATGCCAGTTAGATGCCAAACCAACAGGAATAATTGCCGTGTAGGAATTGGGATCCTTTCGAGTACATTGTCTACCTCAATTTCATGACAAATTACTAACCGAGTAGTCGTGTCAAAAACCCTCGAATACAATGTCAATATTTTTTGAATTTATGATTGGCGATGTATTAATTAGGGTTAATCTTACTTTGTATTTCAAAAGATATTTAATTTTTAATTTCTACATTTAAAATATCAATTTATACCATAAATATTATGAATTACTAGTAACAATGTAAGTCTGNGAGAAGCAATTAAGAAGGGTCCCATCAATGAAAAGTCAATATGCTTGAGAAATTTCACTTTTGGACTCAGATGCACCGATCAATGCGAGTATCCAGCTATTAAGTTTGGTAAAGGTCTTAGCATCTAAGTTTTGCTTATATTTTTTGTAAAGTGGTTTTGTAAATGCCAGTTAGATGCCAAACCAACAGGAATAATTGCCGTGTAGGAATTGGGATCCTTTCGAGTACATTGTCTACCTCAATTTCATGACAAATTACTAACCGAGTAGTCGTGTGAAAAACCCTCGAATACAATGTCAATATTTTTTGAATTTATGATTGGCGATATATTAATTAGGGTTAATCTTACTTTGTATTTCAAAAGATATTTAATTTTTAATTTCTACATTTAAACATTTAAAATATCAATTTATACCATAAATATTATGAATTACTAGTAACAATGTAGGTCTCACCTAGATTGTTNAGAGAGAGAGAGAGATGGGCAGGTGTCATGTCTCAAATTGATACCAGAGGAGCACTAGAGGTTTTGGCGATGGCTTGACCAGGGGATCAGAAAGAATCAGTCAACATTCAAAAACAGTGTTTTTAGCATACTTTTCTTTCCAAAAGCTTGGATATATATGTCTTCATTAATGCATCGACATGCATACCTGCATAAGCGTCTATCAACATCATTTCTAATATTTTTTTATTCCGTTTTTTATTTTTACAGATCAATCAGTACGAATCGATAAAAAACTCGCTTATATACAATAAATTCTAATTGAATTTATGTTAATAAAGCTTAAACTCTATCAAAATAAATTAATATATATATATAGAAAATCTCACGCCAATCAAGCAAGCAACAAAGAGCTTTCTTAAGTTTTATATGAAACTTTCATTAATGCATGGACCTGCATGGTGAGAAGCAATTAAGAAGGGTCCCATCAATGAAAAGTCAATATGCTTGAGAAATTTCACTTTTGGACTCAGATGCACCGATCAATGCGAGTATCCAGCTATTAAGTTTGGTAAAGGTCTTAGCATCTAAGTTTTGCTTATATTTTTTGTAAAGTGGTTTTGTAAATGCCAGTTAGATGCCAAACCAACAGGAATAATTGCCGTGTAGGAATTGGGATCCTTTCGAGTACATTGTCTACCTCAATTTCATGACAAATTACTAACCGAGTAGTCGTGTGAAAAACCCTCGAATACAATGTCAATATTTTTTGAATTTATGATTGGCGATGTATTAATTAGGGTTAATCTTACTTTGTATTTCAAAAGATATTTAATTTTTAATTTCTACATTTAAAATATCAATTTATACCATAAATATTATGAATTACTAGTAACAATGTAGGTCTCACCTAGATTGTTGTTCAATTTTTCATAATAAATTAAAACACGCAAGTGATTCAGGCATGAGGATGAGGTATATATCGATCGCTACAGATTTTTGTTTGTGATTAATTTGACATTATTTTGTGTATTAAAAAAAATAAAGTTTCATTAATCAATCTGTGACTAATCATATAATGTACAACTCACGTGAGACACCAACAATTTATGAATTTACACATAAGTACATGTCTGAAACACTTATAACTCACGTACTTTAATTTATAACAAAAAATTAAACTGTAGTCCGGACGAGATCCACATTACTATTAATTCATAACATTGAAAATGTAAATTGAAAATTTTAATATGTAAGAGGACAAATGAAAAATCGAAACATTTTTCAAAGCATAAAATAAAATTTACCCTATTAACTATTGAAGTTTTACCCTTCAAAACACCGAGAGGATTTTGAAAATGACACTTTGGAAAATAATCGAACCCAAGCCTAACAAGATTCCAGAGTGTATGGGTCCATTTAGATGACCATATTTCATGTTCATTGTCATGCATAGAGAATAGACACATGAGGAGCATCATCGAATTAACCAAAGATGTCTTTCTAAAACCCAAACATGAGCACCAAGAGGTGTTTTTAAAACCCGAAACATTAATGATTGAAGTTTTATAATCTAAACTACAATTTAAATTTAGATTTGGGGAAGGGCACACAGAGAATAGACAGATGACAGGCCTACGAAGATTCCAAAGTATAAGGTGGGTGGTGGTCCATTTCGATGGCTTTATTTTCATGTGGTAATTAATATAAAGGTGCACACAACGTGGAATTCTTAATGAACTGGTGGCAATGAAACGAATTTTCAAAGGAATGAGACCAAAGACTCCCGCGTAAGGGAGGGTGTTCCGTCAATTCCGTTGTCATTGGGTTGGCCTTGACCATGGAACCCTGATCTCTCCAAGTCTCGATGGCCTCTTTTTCTTTTTCTTTTTTCTTTTAAATATAAATTGAGACTCGAAGTCTAGAATCTCGATTGCCTTTTTTTTTTTTTAATAAGTATAAATTGATATTAAGATAAAAGAAAGTACAAATATTATTCGTAATGATATCAAGAAAAAAATTGTCATTGAAAATAGATACACAATTGTTTGAATATAAAATATAAAATTTTGAAAGCATTCGATAGATGCGTTGTTGATAAGTCTAAAGTCATTAACGAATTGTCACGTGTCAAAATCTGAAGAAAATATGGGAAGCGATTAGCCACAGCTCTAGTTTGAAAGAGGAAATAATTGTTTGTGAGTTACAAAGCCAACTAACCGTCAATAAAGAAAAATAGTTAAAAAAAGTGACTATAAAAAGAGAAAAAGGAGTTGAAGACACAACTCAACCCCCCTCCCCCCCAAGACCAACGATTATGACATTTAGGAGTAGTGGTAGAATTAGTTTTTAGAAAATAGTTAGCATTGTAATTAAAAGATGTTAAATCAGTCACTCTGTAATCGGACCCATTCGATTGAATTAATAAAGGAGTTTGTTTTTATTGATTCATTATTATGTGTGTTTATTTCTTTAAGAATTCATCTAAGGAAATCATGAAACAATAAATTTTAACCCATCCACAAATAATTGTCTAAGAACTGTTTGTCGATTGAAACATTTTTGTCGATCGCAACAGATTTTGAAGCAACAACAACATAAGCAAAGGGATCCTTAGCTTAAGGGATAGAATGACCAAACTACAGGCACAAACGTCAATCCAGCTCAATTACAACTGAAATCAATTCAACTGCTTCCAAATGAGCTCGACTAATCTAAAGTAGTTCAATACACGAGAATATAATAGGTAAAGAGGGAAGAATAGTATCAGACCCTATCCAATGATAAGGTCATCAATACCATGTCACTAACTTCTAGAATGTCATCTCATGCTTAGGAAAATATAGCGTCTAACGACTAAATATTTTTCTTTGATATCGTAATAAAATAAGGGACCACCCCTATCATTGTTTAAAGATCACTGTAGAGCCACAAATATAAATAGACAAACTCTTGTTTTGTAACGTTAGATGAGCAATTGCACACCAAAAAGGCCAACNATAAGTATAAATTGATATTAAGATAAAAGAAAGTACAAATATTATTCGTAATGATATCAAGAAAAAAATTGTCATTGAAAATAGATACACAATTGTTTGAATATAAAATATAAAATTTTGAAAGCATTCGATAGATGTGTTGTTGATAAGTCTAAAGTCATTAACGAATTGTCACGTGTCAAAATCTGAAGAAAATGCGGGAAGCGATTAGCCACAGCTCTAGTATGAAAGAGGAAATAATTGTTTGCGAGTTACAAAGCCAACTAACCGTCAATAAAGAAAA